ACACACATCACTCACCGTGACAATCTCCAACATTTCCTGACGAGAGATATACCCGTTCCCGTCCAGGTCATACATGCTAAAGGCCCAGCGCAGCTTCTGCTCCAGTTGACCTCTGGAGGTCACGCTGAGCGCACAGATGAATTCACGGAAGTCGATGGAGCCGTCTCCGTTGGTGTCGAACGTGCGGAACACGTGCTCCGCGAAGCGCGAGGCGTCGCCATAGGGGAAGAAGTTTCCGTAGATCTTTTTGAACTCCTCAACAGACAGATGACCGCTGGGGCAGTCCTTGAGGAAGCCTTTGTACCATTCCTGCAGCTCTTCCTCGCTGAACTGTGTCTGATGGCGGAGATCTTCCAGCACCTCAGGCTTCAGCTTGCTGTTTTGTTTGCCCATGTTGATGTCAGCAACGACGACGACGACAAACTAACGATAGAAGGAGGAGGGGAGGACGGTGGGTGATGAGTTGACGGTAGCAGGAATAGCGATGAGCAAACGACGGAAGGAGAAGATATACGCGTGACAGAATCCCACAATGTTGTGACGTCGTTTGGTACTCACTTTATCAGACGTCAGAGGTCAAAAAGACGACCAGTTAGCAACAATGATTATCAGACAATGAGAAAGAAAACACAGACGACTTGTGAATTCTGGGAGGTTCGGGGAATGTAGAACAGCGCACGAGGCACTATAAATAAAACCGGCACAGAATTCACTTGGCACGCACAGCACAACAACAGTGATACGCCTCTTTCAAAACAATAAGGTCCGCCTGTGATATGTGAGACACCGTCAGACGCAGCACCACCAGCTGAACTCACGACAGCAGCACCGGCTCACTTACAACAACAGCAACAGCACGTGCAGAAGACAACGCTCAGCTCAACCACAAGTCGGAGAAATCGGGGACGGAGCGAGGAACGAGCCAAACACTTCACCTCACAAAATAAAACTCGAGATCACCTCCTGACACCCAGCAAGACACGACGACGATGCAAAAACTGTCAGGTCCTTTAGGAGGCGGGCTGTCCACGGACTGAGAGTGCAGAGAGAAACAAACGAGGCACAACCTGAGAGAGAGGAAGAGTGAGAGCTTGCACACCGCCCGGCATTCACTCACAGCTCACAGAGGTCCTTTGTTCACGACAAATGTCCCGGCCTCTGGAAAATACAACAAAAGTTATATTTGAGTAAAAAATACAACAAAAGTTATGTTTGAGTAAAAAATACAACAAAAGTTATGTTTGAGTACAACATACAACAAAAGTTATATTTAAGTAAAAAATACAACAAAAGTTGGAGTAAGAAAAACACGCGTTTTGATCGAACCCAGCTGAGCCTCGAACGTCACTGGTTTAGTTTTAGTAGAGGTTTTACGGCGCTCACAACTGCATAAGGTCATATGAGCGCCAGAAGATTAGAGATGTTACAAGAGAGTAACAAACATAAAAAAGAAGGAGAGATAAGGACGATAGACGTTTGATAGGAAAGAAGAAGTAAACCACACCAGAGAATTCGCCAACCACTCACCTCGAAGCTCCCATAGCCTAACCACCACAGTCCCATGATTACATGTCCCATAGCCTAACTAACCACCACAGTCCCATGATTACATGTCCCATAGCCTAACCACCACAGTCCCATGATTACATGTCCCATAACCTAACCACCACAGTCCCATGATTACATGTCCCATAGGCTAACCACCACAAGTAATCTTACAAAGTATGGCGTACACATGGTATGAACAACCCAAAAAAAGTGTCATTCCGTGAAAAATGGGGGTGATGGCCTCCTGTACAAATCTCCAACCCTCCAATTCCCCTTTTAAAAAAGGTTAAAGGAAGTTTACCTCCTTTAAAAAAATAAAAGAAAAAGAAAGAAAGAATGACTCGATCCTGCTCAGAATCTTTTCAGTTTGTTTTTGTAAAGTGTTTTACATCGCTCGCAACTGCATAAGGTCATATGAGTGCGCGGGACACACCTAATATTTTCAGTTGGTAGGAAATTTTGAATTTTGCCCAGGTGGCGGCCGAAGCCTACTCTTATCGATTTTAGACCACCAAGGGATCTTTAACGTGCGCAACTTGCACACAGGCCCTCCGGGATTTTTCGCCGACGACAGAACATTGCTAGAGAGCAGGAAATGATGTGAAAAGAGACAAATTTAGAGAAGAAAATTTTTCGGTCGCTACCCGGATTCGAACCCAGGACCTTTTGAATCAAAGGCCAACACCTTAACCTCTAGGCCATCTTTTCAGTAATTCATCATCTCTGCGGTGAACGTGCGTCGTTGCAGTTTTTTACGGAATGGCCCACAATTGTTTACGAAAGAAGTGAAAAACACGTTTTACAAAGCAGAAACAAAAACAAAACAAAAAAACCTGTGCAAGTTATTTAAGACACAAATCACATTACAAGCTAGTAAACACACAAATTACAAGCTAGTAAACACACAAATTACAAGCTAGTAAACACACAAATTACAAGCTAGTAAACACACAAATT